ATACACTTAATTTCAACAGTCGCTCTATAACAAACACTCACGTCTCACGTGGCCAACAATATTTTATCAACATACATTCAATTACTCATTACCTACACAAATTGTCACGTCACGCCGTGACCATCTTATATGTACCAGAACACCCCCAATCTAGCAAATGCTAGAGCACTCCCGAAGGAACAGGATAGTTCTAGAAACGTGGCGTTGACACTAGTCACGTGACCTCGCTGACGCAACAATACCTTCCTTCGAATTCTATTTGTTCAAAGGGTATTGACTTTAAACTTCACGCTTCCACAATACAGAAAGAAGATAATACCAAAAAAGATTGCGCTCTATCATTGAAACGATAATATTTATGGACATCATGAATTAATTTCCTTTACGTGGTCGTCGCATCAATGCACTCGTTCCAATTCTCGTAAGCAAATCAGTTTCTTATGGTCTTCTCAGATCATACAGACGAAACATGATAAATTACTTGAGTCTCAGTTACAAAATACAGCAAAAAACGCAAGATATACTTTATGGAACTTACAAAATTAATGTATCATTGGATTACAACTGCAGAATCACATAGTTGATTCTTTACAAAAATATCAACTGTGAGTACAGAGCGTTATTGCTCATAAAGTAACTGAACACCATGCTAATTCTTCCCCACAATTTTATCGGTAATCTGTAAATTTGTTCTCAGCGATTATTTAAAATAAATCACATTTCTTTCTAAGTTTCTCAAATTGTTTTGTGAATGTCTGGAACTAAGATAACAAGTTTCAAATTTACATGAAAATTTGTGGGTGTTTACTATTAACAGAAACAGTACAAGCGTATCAAATGTGTGAAAGAAGAAGAGCTTAGTCAACCTATATTATTGTTGCGTCAGCGAGGTCACGTGACTAGTATCACGCCACGTTTTCTAGAAATATCCTGTTCCTTCAAGAATGCCCTAGCATTTACTAGATATGTGTTGGTCTTGTATATATAAGACGTTCAGAGAGTGTGTAATTGAATTGAGTATTGTTGAAGTCGAGCACGTGAGACGTTTGTTATAGCGCGACTGTTGAAATTAAGAGTATCGCAAAGTTATATTCGGAAAGAATAAACCAGTTTTATTTAAGAAAGGACTTGTGTCGCTAAAGTTTCGTCGGAACGAATTTACGGAAAGTTAATTAACAAACGGAGACGTAACAAATTGGTGTCAGAGAGTGGGACAGAAAATAAAAAATAAAAAAAGAAGAAGAAGATGGAAACGATAGGCGGAAAATCAAACTACAGATGAGCAAATTTGATGGCAGCAACACAAGAACAGCAAAAGAAACAAGAAGAACGAGAAGAGAAATTACAGCAGTTGTTGGGAGGAAAAAGAAAAGAAACAAGAAGAACGAGAAAATAAACAAGAAGAGAGATTACAGCAGTGGTTGGAGGAAAAAGAAAAGAAACAAGAAGAACGAGAAAATAAACAAGAAGAGAGACAACAGCAGTTGCAAGAAAACCTGCAACAGTGGCAGCTCGAACAACAAAATAAACAAGAGAGATTACAGCAGTTGTTGGAGGAAAAATTACAGCAGTGGTTGGAGGAAAAAGAAAAGAAACAAGAAGAACGAGAAAATAAACAAGAAGAGAGATTACAGTAGTGGTTGGAGGGAAAAGAAAAGAAACAAGAAGAACGAGAAAATAAACAAGAAAAGAGACAACAACAGTGGCAAGAAAATTTGCAACAGTGACAGCTCGAACAACAAAATAAACAAGAGAGATTACGGCAGTTGTTGGAGGAAAAAGAAAAGAAACAAGATGAGAGACAACAGCAGTGGCAGATCGAACAACAAAATAAACAAGAAGAGAGACTACAACAGTGGCAAGAAGTACAAATGGAAAACATTAGTAAATTTAAAAGCGAATTAGATACATTAAAGGATGATCTATTGTCTTTTACACAAGGAGGGTACATTGACCATCGACTTAATCAGCCCCGGACAATGGCAAGCCCCTTCCAGAGTCCGCAGCTAAACCCTAATGCAGACATCTTCAGCCATGTTAGAAGTCACATCCCAGATATGAATGTCAGTAATAGGAGTGATCCATTGTGAAGGAAGCCACAGGAATTCGATGAGAAGGCACCGTGGGAAGCATATAGAGCACAATTTGAGCTACTGGCAGAGATGAACGGATGGACAGAGCAGCAGAAAGCAGTATATCTGGCAACGAACTTGAAGGGACAAACACTGGAAATACTTGGACAGTTGTCAGCAGATGATAGACACAACTATAGAGCACTGGTAGCGGCTCTAGAGCTCAGGTACAGAACCCAAAATCAGTCAGAAGTCTACAGGGCTAGGTTTAGGATGAGAGTCCATGCTAAAGGGGAGAGCCTGCAAGAGCTGGCACAGGACTTGGAAAGCATGGCACACAAGGCCTACCCAACTGCATCACCTGATCTCCTCAAGTTGTTGCTGAGGGATCAGTTCGTAGATGCCTTGGACAGTACACAACTTAAGATACAAGTGAAGCAAGCACACCCCTCTACCATGCAGGATGCAATGGCTAGAGCTCTCGAATTTGAATCCTACGTTAAGTCCAGCACAGAGGTACCAAGGCTGGTACAGTCATCTGGATTCAAGGCCAGAAAAGGTCAGCTTTCAGAGAGGTTTGAGGGACTTTGCTGGCACTGTAACAAACCTGGGCACAAGAGAGCTCAATGCTGGCAACTTCAACACAGGGGACACGATACAGCAGTAAAGGCTGCTACCTAGAAAGGCTGTTGGAACTGTGGGGAGCAAGGACATCTGAGGAGCCAGTGTAAGAAAAATACCACCAATAAGTCAGCTTCGGGAAACCAGTAGTGGTTGGTGCTAAGGGATGCTCACCAACCTCCATCGTGAAAGTCGCAACAGCTAAGTATAAAATGGCAAGCACACATAGTATCTATGTGACAGAGAAGCTGGATGGCCAAAGGTGCAACTTTGTCATAGATTCTGCATCTCAGCAAACCCCTGTGCGCATCAAGGTGCTGGATAACAAAAGAGTGCCAGAAGCTG